CAAGATTTTTAGAATGCAGTTCTTTGAATATCTTGATAACGATTCAATAACCTTACAATGTCGATAGAGCAGATAGAACATTTGGTTTCTGACTAAGGGTCTTAGTAACTCAAAAAGGCCCCAAAAAATGTCAGACAGAACGTTGTAATTCTAATACGGGGTGCCCACTACGGCTGGATCGGGCCGATCGCCCAACTCGATCACCTGAAACTGAAAACAAACACGTTTGTTGTTGAGACGATCGAGTCGGGCACCCCGTATAAGGCAGCAAGTGTGCCTGTCTTACGTCTCTATCTGACAGTGTATGAACCCATGTCTTCTCAATAGTCATTTGCATAATCACCATCTCATAACTTCAGTCACTACCACCACCATCATAATATTTAATGTCATGTTTGCTCTTAGCTCCTTGACTGCAGTTTTAACAAATCATTATGAAGTAGGCTGACAGGTTACACTAATTCATAATGCACGTAATGCCGAACACTATCATGCGCACCTTTTTCTAACAATCATATGGCTTCGATTCGGTTTTTATTAATGAGCAAGGGACCCCCAAAAAAGTATCTTGTGTTCGAAACTGTTCCTCTTACCTGAACTCCACAGTCTGCGGCTCCAAAACTCTGTGACGCAGACACAAACATGACACAATACAGCCGTTACTTCCCTCTGGTTCCACCGTCAGCACACCCTCACACCACCCTCACACCTTCCACAACACGCTAGAACACCCCGCAACAGTTCAACACAAGAATCCATGATGTCATATTTCAACATTTCACAAATTTACACACACACAGGACATAATCTCCCAAATCCATCTCTGAAAACAATCCCAGAATTGTAATCTTTCCTGAAGGAGCAGAAAGAGGACAACTTTGGTGCCCCAAAAAGAACAAACGAAAAACAAACTCTTTGAAGAGAAAGTAAAAAGGTGTTAAAAAACACCCAAACGACAAACTGTTTAAAGAGAAAGAAAAATGGTTGAAAAAGAAATAAACTAAAAAAGCTGGTTGAAAAGATAGAAAAGCAAGGTGGAATATTTTTTTAAAAACAAACTGCTCGAAGAATATGAAAAATAAGATAGAAAAGTTCATATTTTTTAAAATAACACCCTTTGAAGAGAAAGAAAAACTTGTTTAAAAAATAGCAACAAATAAACCCAACAAAAAAAACCCACTGTTAGAAGGGGAAAAAGAAACTAGGTAAGAAAAAACCAAACAAACAAGCGAATGCAAAAGGACACACTGAGAGTCGCACTCGCGCGGTAAATGAGCTACATGTTGGCGGCTATGCTCGCCACTTGTGCCATGTAAAGTTGCGTTTTCCTGTGTGTGAGTGAGCGAGAAACCGCGGGGAGGAGGTACCAGCGTGTGGGGACGACAGTGTGCTTTTTGCTAGTCTGTCCGTCCGGCGCTGTGTGCCTAATTGTCTGATACCAGCGTCTACCGCTTGATCATTCTGGCTTATCTTTTCTTTTCTCGTTGTCTCTGTGTCCTCTGTCTGTCTCTATCTCTGTCTCTGTCTCTGCCTCTGTCCTCTGTCTCTCTGTCTCTCTGTCTGTGTGTGTGTGTCCGTCTGTCTCTCTCTCTCTCTCTCTGTCTCAGTCTCTGTCTCTGTCTCTGTCTC